TCCCATTACAATGGCCAGCGTGAGAGGCTGAGATGTACATTTTCATCTTTACATGAGAATTTGGGGGGCATTTTAACAACTCAGCTGACTGTGTTTCATCTTCTTAAAGTTCTTCTGTTTTGATCATTTTTCTTATGAAATAGGGAAGATAAAACAAGAAAAACCAAAACCACAATTCCTATGAGTTTCATACCTTTGAAGTGTGTAATAACACTGCCAATACTCTCTGTGAGCTTCAAGGTAACTTTTCCATAAAATATCGGGTTTGTTTGCTTTTCTTAAACTTCAGAAGCAGGTTATTTCCTGCCATGATTTTGCAATGTTAGAGGCAACAGAGGAATCTATTTCCTGCCTGTTCACTTGCCGCAGAGCACCAGGCTGTTCTGCATGTAGTATTCTGCCAGTTGTCTGTGCGTCTCTTCATCCTTCTTGACTGTCTCATCAGGTTTCACTCTGAGTTGATGATCTATTTTGAGAGTCACTATTTTACTCTGCCACATCTGAGGACACATTGTAGAATAATGTAAAACTGAATACTGGTTCTACATTATTGTAGGGGAGAGACTTTTTACACATGAAGACACCTTTCTCAACATAAAAGAGCTACAAACATCATAGCCCAAATAGATCTGAGACCACCTGTGGCCCAAGGAGAGAAATTTAGCTCAGAGGATCTTCAGTTTGAACACAAGTGAATTTGATTCCTGAACAGATTGTCTAGAAGAAAAATAAGTGGGCACCGTATCTTTCTTTGTCTATAGGTTGAGGGAGTATGATGTCAGATGAGAGTTGATCATGGCTTGGGACAACTGGTAAATTGGAGAAATTTGCTTTCAAAGGCACCAGGGTCCATATTCCCTGCACAGTGTGTCTCAGACTCTTTGAAAGGCAGTTTGTGTCTTAGATGCTTGAAGAGATTAGTGTTAGTCATTTTCCATTAGAAAGACTGTGTCATGGCATGCCCCCTCCTCATCTTCCCTTCCCATTGGACCTATTTCTTCTTCCTTCTTGAAGTCTTCATATAACATGGACTCTGTATCTGACAAGCACCGGTGATCATAGAATAAAAGTTCTGTGTCTCTGCCTGCAACTTCCCAGTGCAGAGAGTCAGCCTGAACATTCATACTCAACATTTCTTGACTTTCATTTTCTAAGTTCATCATCATCAACATTTATTTTTTAAGATGGAGTTTCAGTCTTGTTGCCCAGGTTAGATTGCAATGGCATGATCTTGGCTCACTGCAACCTCCACCTCCTGGGTTCTCATGATTCTCCTGCCTCATCTCCCGAGGAACTGGGATTACAGGCATGTGCCACCATGCCCGTCTAATTTTGTATTTTTAGTGGAGACTGGGTTTCACCATGTTGGTCAGGTTGTTCTTGAACTTCCAACCTCAGGTGATCTGCCCGCCTTGGCCTCCCGAAATGTTGGGATTACAGGCATGAGCCATGGTGACCTGCCCATCATCACTTTTTAAGCTTTCAGGAGTCCTGGGTTTTAACTACTTCCAGGAGTTCTGATTTCTAACCACTGTGAATGATACCCGGCAATTTCCCTGGGCACAGTTTCTCTGTCTGAATTTTAAACAACAAAAAAGATACTTGATAGCCACAAACACATTTTAAGGAAAGAAGTTTTAATATACTCATGATGGTGATTTTCCAACCATAGAGAAAATGGTTTCATACACTTGTTTTTGCTGAAATACTAGCAATGTTTGTCTATTGAGGCATTCTTCTCCTTCCTACCGAAGAGACCCTTCCCATTGCCTCTGGGTTGAGGCTCACATCCCGTCTTCCAGCAAGAGAGTGCTGCAAAGCTGTTCAGAATAGAGATTTATGTGTGCTTCACTTAAAATGAATCTCCTCCCTGTCACCCACATAAAATATTATATCTCAGCCCATCACCGAGAGGAAATTCCAAGTCTGCTAAATGCCTTCCTGATCATGACACAAGAGCATGAACAAGGCTCCAAACAGTGCTGGCGCCTGCCTCACTTTCCAGCCTTGCCTCCCCCAGACCCCTGGTGCACTCCACGCCTCAGACAGACACAATCACTGGTACTTTTCCACTGTCCATGCTCTGAATCGCTTCTCAGCAGGCATCCCCTTGATCTGGAGATCTTCCATTCATTCTTCAAAAAAAGGCATCCTGTCCTCTGGGAAACTGAAATGCTACTTTGCTGCTGTAATGAGATTCCCATCACTTTTTTTTTTCTTCTTGGCACTCCTGGGATTTATTTTTCTCTTATTCTCTTTACCATTTTAAAAAAAAATTATAAACTTACAAATGAGTTGTGTAATATAGCCATATACCTTAAATAATAATAATAATAATATGAACACTCAGATCCTCACAACCTGATTTGATTGTCAACTTTTTGAAAACATTTGTGTGCCCTTCCCTGACCCATTACTTTCCACTCCCTAGGGAAAAAATTCACCACTTTCCTGAATTTTTTATTTATGTTTTTTATTTCTGTAGAGTTTGGCCACATTTGCATTCAAACCTAAACAATACATTACATAATTTTACCTTTATTTGAACTTTCTGTACATTGAATCAAATGATTTGCAATTCACATTCTTCTGATTTTCTTTTTTCACTCGACATTATATTTTTGAGATCCATCCATGATGATGCATAAGTCCAATGCCCATGAGTTCTTTTGTTATTATATAGGTTTCCACTGTATAAATCATAACAATTTATGTATCCATTCTCCTGGTGATAGAGTATTATTTTTTTTCTTGTAAGAAACACTCATAAACATTTTTGAACATTTCTTCTACTGTAGATTGCAAGTTAAAAATACAGTTTTTAAACTATATGCTTAGAAATGACAGTGTTGTGTCAACAATACAAATTTCATTCCTTTAGGCAATGTGAAATTGTTTTCAAAAGCCATGATACCAATTTATTCTTTTGTTATTACCATTTGTAGTTTCCAGGTTTTTGTTCTTTTTTTTCTTTCTTGCTCTCTTTTGTATTGATATATATCTCTCTTCCATATTTTAATTTTCTTCAACTTCTGTGGAAGTTACATATTGTGTACACACACACACACACACACACACACACAATTCTGAACTTGAATTTCTAAACAGTCTGAAAATTTTATGACACATTAACTCTGATCATCTCAACTCTAAATAATTTGTGCTGTTGTCCTGAATTTCAGCTCTTTCCTATTTAGCTGTACAAATTAACTGTATATGTTATAATAGTTTAATGCAATAAAGGCTTTTACATTTTTTCACATTTTTAACTTTTCTTTGTTTACTATTCCATTTGTAGTCTTCAACTTTCCTTCTGGAATTATTGTACCTCTTCCTAAGGAACTGAATATAGAATTCTAGGCTCACATTTTTTTTTTTAATCAGAACTTTGAAGATACTGTTCTGATTTTAAATATTAATACTGAAAAGTCAGACTCAACCTAATTTAATTCCTTTGTAATTATTCTGGCTCTTCTTTATGTCTTTTTTATGTTTTTCTCTTTGTCTTTACAGCCCTGTTATTTGACTGAACAACATCTGCATATGGATTTCTTCTTCTTTGTCATTAGGATTCATTAGGTTTCTTGAATCTGAGAATTGTTGGTCCTCATCAATTACGGGAAATTGTCAGCCATTTTTTCGTTAAGTATTGATTTGACTTTAATCTTTCTTCTTTCTCCTCTGAGGATTCTAATTAGATATATTAATACCTTCTCAGTTCATTGTTCATGTCTCTTTACTTTTCTTATGTCTTTCTGCTTTTTAGCAGGGGGTACATTCTGGATAATTTTTTTCAGATAATTTCTCCAGGTCATGAATTTTATCTTCAATGAAATCTGAAGGTAGCCACTTTTTAAAACACATTTACATTTTTATTTTATTTTAGCTCTAGAATTTATATTTCTTTTTTCTATTTTATATCTGATCAGTTTTAATATCTTATTTCTTCATTGTACTTATGATTCCATTTTATATTTCTAGAAACATTACAGATATTTGTTTCATATTCTCTTCCTTATAATTTATATACCTGCAGCGTTTCCCCTTGTAATTCCATATGGTTTACACCAACTCTGATGGGGGCATTTCTCCTTTTCTGTTGAGTGAGTTTTAATTGTGAGCTCATGCTCTTTAGTTCTTTATCTGTGGGAATTCTTTGAAGCCTTGGTTTAAAATACATTTCTCCAGAAAGGATTTGCCCTTGGTGTCTTTGAAGCAGCAGCTATCTGGGCTTCTAGGTCTATTAAGAACTAAAGCCTAGAGGGTATTTTTGGTTGTTTTTCTGGATTTTTTTTTCTACATAGAAAAGTTTAATATTGATCATAAACCTACAGGAGTGTAGACACAAGTTTAAAGTTATAAAAGATTTTGGTTTTTATATTTTTATTGTTTAATTAAAACATAGCATTACTGTGTGCTTTTATAGGGTGTTTATCCACTTGTTTTCCCATTTGAAATGTTGCTCCTCAAAGTAGCCTGGCTTTTGTGGGCACCTTGATTCAGTCAATCCTGCTAAAGGCCAAGGTTTGTCTTCAGTCTTATTTCATACCCATTAAAACCCAGGTTCTAAGCACCCAGATGTCAGCAGACAGCCCTGAAGTACTCTGGCTCCTGGGATTGTTTCACCTGTAGATTCGTGCTTGCCACTTCCCTTGTCATTTCTGGCTTCTGAGAAATTTTCTTTCCCTCTACCTTAGCTATGCATCAAATATTTTTTTTTAATTTAGCTACATTTAAACTGTGTTTAACTGTAGATTTTCCCACATATCTATTCTATTATGTTGTCATGAATAGAATCCCACTCTAAAAATTATACAGTCCTAACACTTACCACAATTGCCACAAATATCTGGTTTACTTATCTAACTCTCCCCAAGAGCTTCTTAGAAGCAAGGAGTGTGGTTGCTTTATCATTAATTCCAGTGCCTGATACACGGTAAGGACTCAATCAAAGTCGCATGAACGTTGCCTCCCCGGCTTTGTAAGGATAGGCCACCATCATGAACGACACAGTAACTATTCACACTAGAAAGTTAATGACCAACCGACTGCTTCAGAGGAAACAAATGGTCATTGATGTCCTTCACCCCAGGAAGGCAACAGTGCCTGAGACAGAAATTCGGGAAAAACTAGCCAGAATGTACAAGACCACACCGGATGTCATCTTTGTATTTGTATTCAGAACTCATTTTGGTGGTGGCAAGACAACTGGCTTTGGCATGATTTATGATTCCCTGGATTATGCAAAGAAAAATGAACCCAAACATAGACTTGCAAGACATGGCCTGTATCAGAAGAAAAAGACTTCAAGAAAGCAACGAAAGGAACACAAGAACAGAATGAAGAAAGTCAGGGGGACTGCAAAGGCCAATGTTGGTGCTGGCAAAAAGTGAGCTGGAGATTGGATCACAGCCGAAGGAGTAAAGATGCTGCAATGATGTTGTCTATGGCTGTTGTGGATTTTTCACAAGAAGCTTAATAAGCTAAAAACTTTGTGTGTCTGGTTGTTTGAAAAAAAAAAAAACAAAAACAAAAAATTAAAAACAAAGTCACATGAACAAAATAGTACATTTTGAAAGCCAATAATCTAGCAACAGGAGATTTTCCCTGTACCAAATAGAATCAATTTATTAAACTTGGTTACCCTCATATTCCAGGTTGATTACTATAAACTAGATATTTAAATAAATGAGGGTCTTCTTTCAAAAATTCTGAATTTGCTGGAGGATTTATGGGATTGGAAAACCGTGCTGAGAGTTAATTGGCATGGATATTGCATACCCTGAGGGACTATGGAGAATGTGTGGGAAGTGGTGAGTCCAACAGGCAGCTTGGTGAAGAGGCAGGATCTGATAAGCAGGTGCTTATAATCTTCTGGGGTAGCACTAAAGTGGGACAGGAGGTTCCTGTGAGACAGTATGGACAGGGGAGCCTGCAATGAAGGGGAGACCTGGCTGGATCCTGCCTACCCTGCTGGTGTTATCTTGAGGTGAGGGATGTAACTGCTTCTGGTCCTAGCTTCTTCTCCACAGTCCCATCAGAGGACTCTAGGCTAGAAGAGAGGACTGATCTGTGGACTGTAGAGCAAGCCTGGCTGAGACTCTCCTGGCTCCATCAATTCAAGAACTATTGGACATAAAGTGACCCCAGTGAAGCTGTGAATCCCTTCATTTGATCTCACATTGTAATAATCAGAAACTATCTATGCTCCCACAGTTACCTCTTGCCTGTTTAACTGAAGAATTCTAAGTAGCTTTGAACTTCAAAAGGAAAATGAACATTTTCTTGATTCCTTCTCTGATTCCAGTGGAATGGTGTTGCAACATGGCAAAGTGATGGTGGCACTGGAGCTCAGGAACTGATCACATGCTCACTCTCAGCTCTGTCACTGCTGGGTGCTTTGCTTGGTGACCTTGGGCCAGTTGCTCCTCACTGGAGACTTCAGTTTCTTCATCTACTCAGTGAGGTAGGGCACAGAATGTTCTCTAAGGTTTTTGCTAATTTAACAACTCTAGGATTCTATGATTGACAATTTTTTACTTCCTGATTGTACTGTAGGTCACTTTTTATCTTCTTCTTTGGAGACTGCAAAATAATTTCTAATAAGGCATTCCATCACCCTCTAAAAATGTAGATGCATCTCTTGAATCTGCTACTTAGCAGTTTCCCTATAGACATCAGGTGAGTATTATTCCAGGAGTCATACATTTAAAAAATCACATCAAAATAAAAGTATATCAGCCGTTACTCATTTTTCCTGTGTATTTATGGGTTTACCTACTTTTTTCTATGTTGGGATTCACACAAGGTGGCTGGCAAAATATTAGGGAACATTATAGATTGTAGTCTCAAACCTGCCACCCCAAATAAATCCCAACATTTCAGTCCGCTAGAACCCTCCTGAGAATAATATATTTTCAAATGATTATTTTTGGAGACTTGACCAGGACTAATTCTTCCATATAATCACAATGTAGAACCATTCAATTGACTCTGAGACCTAGGAACAGACGAGGTCTGGACAGCTGCTGTATTTAGACTTTCTTTGATATTTCAAATTGTCCTCAGTTCCCTTCCCTCAGTTCTTACAAACAGAGTTTTAGAGTTTTCATCATCGACTTCCTAGGACTTCATGCCCTGTTCCTTTGTGGAGACACAGACAGCAGTGTATTTCCCTACCCAAGATGGTCCACTTTCTTCAACACACCTGTACTGAGCACATACACAGGTGTTAAGCTGGGCACTGGGAAAAAGGGAGCTAGCAGAGCAGGGTTCCAAAGACCCCATAGGCTGGTTTAGTGGGCGTGGCAAGACAGGGCTACTTTATGAATTTCAAAGCCCTAGGCACTCTTGCCTTCATGGGCTCCTTCTGCTGTTAAAATAAAATTTTTAAAATTGAAAATTATCATATATTTTATGACTACATTGGCATGAAGATGAAGACAAAACAATCTGGACAAGAGTCATTATTACATGTTCATGAGTATTATTATTTTCAGCTTGTCTTTTGATTTTAACAAAGATTAAAACATTTTCATTCGTCCCTTAAAGTATCATAGATCCCAGGCACCATACCTAATGGAAAAGTGAATCCTAGGCAGGTGGAGAGAGGATACACCTATGGAAACTGGCAAGTGAGCCTTCAAAGGAGCTCTGTGGGTACACAGTGCCCTCTGGGACCCCAGAGCAGGGTTTCTCAATTGAATAAGGCATGCAGTGAGAAGTGGTAGCCTGCCCAGGGAAGAGAGTTAATGGTGAAGCTTAAGCCAAGTGTTGAAGCTGAGTAGAAATGAATAAGTAGAAAGGTCCTTGTGGAAGAGAAAACAACTTGAGAAGTGAAGAAGAAATAAAATCCCATGTGCAGAAAACCAGAAGCTGCTGGATGTGGAGTCAAAAAGCACCAAGCAGGAATGGTCCGAGATAGAGCTGGAAAGGTGGATGGATCCAAACAGTGATGAGCCTCATGGGTCACTTGACTGGCATGGACTTTGTCCTGGACGGACAGTAGGGCTCTATGGGCTTTAAAATGAGAAGAGGATGATCAGATTTCAGATGAGAAAGACTGGAATATACATGTATTAATTGAATCAGGCAAGGAAGAAGAGTGAGTGAGTGTGTGTGTGTGCTTGTGTGCTTATCCCAGAAGGAGTTGAAGGGCGTATTCCACTCCATCAAGTCCTCTTTTTAAGGCCATTGAACTTTCTTCCATGTATCTGCCATGGGTCTGGATGGCACAGCCTCTGACAAAGTCAGCTGTAGGAGCAGAGGCTGCACAGTTCGGTCTCTCAAAACTCTTGTGAAAAGAAACACTTAAAAAACTTTTGTCCTGTGATATCACATATGGCAATGTTTGGTACGGCCCTTAAGAAAGCAGAGAGAGAAACTCATAGAGACGTCCCATTTCCCAATCCTACTAAATATCACACAGTCCTCCAAAGTGACTTTTCTGTCCTCTGTCCCCCCGTGCCTTCCTGCGTGCTGTTCCCTTTGCCCAGAATACCTTTTCTTTCTTGTCTTGTGTGTTGGACACCTGCTTGTCTTGTAAGATGCAACTCAAGTGCCTCCAATGAATGTTCTCTTGATTCTTCTCTCTGGCCATTACTCACTTCCTTCTTTGGATCACAGCTGTGACAAGGCGTGGTTCTCTCTATTAGAGCCCCTTCACTTGGACCCCCACTGTGAGCATGACTGAGACCCTATGGAAGGGCAGGTCTTCAGGGCACAGACTCTGTTTCAGTGTAGCCCCAGGATCCAGGCCACTACCAGCACGTGGGATCCAGGATAACCTTGAATCAGTAAATTAGTTACTCCTGAGCTCACTTCACTTCAACAGGATGGACTCATCACTGCTGGTTTTAAGCAAAGTGCCTCACATCTAAAAAACACCAATGAAGCAGTGTCTTTGAACTTTAAGCTGGCTGTATTTCAATGTTTTTCACAAAACTGTATATGCTTTACTATCTCATTTTCCCAGCATTATCTCACTTCTTCAGATGTTGTATAAATCTTGTATTACAGGGGCCAAAATCATCACCACAGGGTGATTTTTTTTCTTTGCATGTGAGTTGCAGGCGCACAATACATGTCAATATAGTCTACTATAGAGGCTTTTCTGATAGAGTAGAATGGGACCATGCATGTGTTTAATTAGTCAGTTTTCTGGCTTGATTTGTCTGCCTTTCACAGAGGAGGGCATTTAGGAATGAGCTGAATGCTTGTGATTCACATGGTGAATCTGGGTGATGATATGTCCAGGGCCCTCAGAGGAAGTAGAGATAATGGAATACACTCAAGCCTCTTCTGTTTGCTAAGGATGGAGGAAGAGTGAAAAGCCTTGAAAATTCATAACCGTGTGCCTGAGCCTGCACACAGGCAGGTGCCCAGAGGCTCAGTGCTCTTCTCTGGTTAACTATGTCCTCTGGCTCCCAAACAGGAATATACAGGCGGGGCTCAATGGGAAGAAGCTAGAAGAGGCTGCTCAGAAATAATTGCTACTATTTACTGAGTGAGCCAGGCACTGTGTGGGGACTCTACAGACACAATCTTATTCAATACTCACAGTTCATTCATTTAAGAAATATTCAGTAAACAACTTCCAGTCACCATTGTGGGCAATGAGATGCAGAGATTGTTAAAATGCTTAAAACACAAAGCCCCAGTTCCCCACAGAGTCTACATTATGTTTTGGAAGGTACACAGACAATATTTAAGCATATAAACAACAAACAGATACCTGTCGAGTGTTGATAAATACAATAAAGAAAGTAAACAGGGCAAGAAGATACAGTGAGATAGTGGAGTGTATGCTGTTTTACGTAAAATGATAGAGGCCTCTCTGATCAGATGGCATTTTGGCCAAGACCTTGCTGAAATGAGAGTGAGTCTCACAGATAAATGGAGGAGCCATGTGTTCAGCAGGGGGACAGCACTGCAAAGGCCTGGAGGCAGGACTGTGAGGAGTATGTCTGAAAAATTGCAAGCATCCTGTGAAGTAATTGCTATTATCCTCATTTTTCAGATGAGGAGTCAGAGGCACTGTAAGGGAAAACGGCTCACCTAAAGCCATAGGACCAGTGAATGTACAGCTGTAATTTCAGCCTGGGTCTCTCTGACTCCAAGGCCTTTGTTCTTTCCTTTACGTTACCATGTTCAAAGGCAGTGCTGGTGGTACAAAAGGAGAGAGTGGGATGCCCCCTGAACTTACCGTCCCACCTCACTCTTCCAGGAAAGGTTCCTGGATCCTTCCTCCATCCATACGTCAAGCAGTTTATTTTGACTGAGCAACTACTATGTGCCCATTTGTGCTGGGCACCAAGAGAAAGCCAGTGTTAGTGACCACCTGATGATCTCACTCAGGAGACGGTTAACAGAGGGGTCCAAGTCCAACCTGCAGTAAGTCAGAGAATCAGAGCTGGCCTGGGAATGTTTGCTGGGGG